TCACTGCAAGTTGCTATAAGGCATGCAGATTATACACAGAAAGGATCAAATAGAATTTAGAATAAGAGATTCTACCCTAAGACCACATCCAAACAAGGAAAGATAATAAGGCTAAAGCACCCATTCTGAGGCTATCAACTCCTAACCGTATATAATTTTTGAACATACACTTAGCTATTTCATATAATCGACAAAGCTCATTATCAGTATAACATGGCTAATTAAATTAGGAACTATTTACTTGGCTCGACTGATCACGTGCGTTGCACTCTCCTCTTTTGGGCTTAAAATCCTTTTTAAGTTACTTTTGCAAACATTTTACCACCTCCTCAGTTTGAGTCCTGACACACCCGAGGATGTGTCTGAATCTCTCAAACCAAGGCTCTGATACCAATTTGTAACGACCCAACTTTTTACAAGGATTTTTTTTTAATTAATCGGACCAATTACATATTCCATAGATTTCCAAAACATTTGTTTCCAATTCACAATTATTACATCATTGTTGTCCTTTTTGAAAACATCAGAGAGTCCCAGACATCCAAAGAGAGGTAGAGTACACGCCACGTCATCCCGCCTTGCCCTTGCCCTTAGGCTCCGAAGTACCTGAAACAATCAACAACCTGTAAGCGAAATGCTTAGTGAGTTTCCCATAGCATACCACACACACAATCAACATATCATATATCCTACTAGCTATAAAAGCTACACACATATCAGATACCCTATAAGCTATAAAGCTACACACATATCATGTAAGCCATACATACATAAACCTATAACAGTGCCATGGACTACCCCAGTCTTTACCTAGGACTGCCATGGGATCCCCAACATGGTCTTACATCCAATGTCATGGGCTACCCCACATGGTCTTAACCTAGGACAGCAATGGGCTACCCCACATGGTCTTACATCTAATGCCACGAGCTCCCCCGGGGTCTTCATACAACATGCAATCACATATCATAGCAAAGCACAAAACGTCTAACACATTTATCATAATCACATAATGGGCCGACCTTGGTGCCTTAGACCCATAGGTATGGTGAGGAGACTCACTTGACACGAATGCTAAATTGACACTTTGGGACCAAAATACCCCACGATCTGCTCCAACTCAACTGCCTATAAGCGACATTCAATAACCAAACATTACCCCCAAAGTCCGCCCTGGTCAACTTCAGATAAGTTAAGTCAACAGCTCATGTTAACCCTAACTTGCCGAGTACAACTAGTGACTCACCGAGTTTCCCGGGATATAATCTACTCGTCGAGTTGTTCCTTCAACTCGTCGAGTTTACGACAAACTTCATATGGTTCGCCGAGTTGTTCAACCAACTCGTCGAGTCTAAAGTGAAATTCATCGAACTCGCCGAGTTGTTCATCCAACTCATCGAGTTCAAGCTAAACTTCATATGACTCGCCGAGTCACCTCTTGCGACTCGCCGAGTCCTTAAATATCTGAGGTCATACAGACTCACTTGAGCCATGCAAAGCCTCCATATTATAGATCTAGGCTTCTAAGGCATGCCTTTCACGTAAAGTTGCAAACTTTACATGCATGCAAGGCTTTTAAGCTCTAAAATAGCAATTCTAAGATTGGAATGGAGTCACACACTTGAGGGGAGGCTCATGCTAGGCACAACTGATAAATATATGCATCTAACGTCCAAAGGGAGTCCAGATCTGAAGTTACAACTTCAGATCTTGGCTTAAGCACACAATCCCTTTCTTAGAATCCATGCAAAAGAGGGCTTTAGGTGGAAATGAGCCAAGGAATAGCCTAATACCTTCAGGGAGTGCTTCACAAGAGTGGATCTTGAATCCCCCACGATTTCTTTGCTTCCTCTAGCTTGCTTCCTCATGTGCTCCCTTCACTAAGTCCTTCCTTCAAGCTTAAACTCACCAAAGATCACACACACACACACACACACACTAATCAAAGTTTTAGAAGATGAGGAGCTGTAAAGGGAAAGCTGGGGGAGGCTAATGACCCCTTTAAATAGGGCGCATGACCCGAAACTTAGGGTTTCATCTGCCAGCATCTACTCGTCGAGTTCCACCCTGTACTCGGCGAGTAGGTCATTAAAATAATCGGACTAACTCGCTACTACTCGACAAGTAGGGAAGCCAACTCGTCGAGTAGGTCCTTCAAATTTCAAACAAAGGCAATATTATTATTAGTACCTGAGAATCAGGGTGTTACAAGCGAGTTTGTGTTAAACTGTTACTGATACTAGAAAATGTGAATTTTAATTCATTTAGTTCAGTTTCGTATCGTGACACAGGAATATTAAGTGATTTAAGAATAGAGTGTACCTTGTTGATCATTTGATCACATTCCCTGATTTGTTCAAAAACTGGTTTCGCAGTGAAGCAACTATCACCCCCATGTCCACTATCAGTGGTATATCCTCGCATCTATGACACATCACTAGTCACCACGAAAATCTTCCTCCAAAATGTGAATCGTCCTCTTTCGCAACGAAACTTCTCCCATAAGTTTGCCTGCGAAACTCGTCATCTTCTGAATCCGTGCACCAGACTTCCAACCTGCCAAATTCATCATCATCTTCTTTTTCCTACATAATCAAAGCAGGCATAGAAATATCAGAGTTCTTTTTCTTCGTTATCTCCTCAAGCTTATGTGAGAATCATCGTGCTGCATGATGAAATAACTTTTGAAACCTGTTAAGAATTAGACGTGTAAACTGAAGTAGTTTTAGGGTAATATTAGAATCACATAATATCAACAAGAACAAAGTGATGACAGCTGAATTAGATTCAATATCAACGGAAACCCTAATGGCTTTATAAACAGAAGAGATGTGTATAGATTACACGGTCTCTTTGCTCTAATACCAAATGTTAGGATATTAATCCTTGAAAGATCGATTAGATTCAAAAAAGATTGTAAATAAGAACAAGAACGATGATTCAAAGTATGATGAATGATTATATTCCGCAACCTCATAAGAACTCGATTAAGAATTGTTATTGTAGAGGTGTGATTATGGTTACAAAATTAATTGCCAAAGTTAAGAAACACGACGCATGCATGCACACTAAATACTTTAACCCTAATAAATGACGGGTGGACAAGCCCAATCCCTTTTACATACATGGACTAATAAATACACACAATGATACAACATAATATTCCTAACAAAAAAATCATCTCTCTCTCTCTATCTCTCTCTCTAATATCATTTGTAGCTTATTTTTGTTATGAGGGCAACTCAAAAAGACTTTGTTATTAATTATAAGAATATACTAATTTAGTTATGAGCTTAAAAACATTAATCTAACAATTATTTCCTAATTTCAATTTAAGCACACATGAATTTAAAAGAATACTACTTGGAAAAATCTGAATGTTACATATTTAATCATATATAAGATAAGAAACACGAAAAACACAACAATCACATGCTAAAACGTGTTAATTTCGTATCAAATTTTAAATACGAACACGATACGACATGACGTTGTGTTTTTTTACAGTTGACACGAATACGAATTCGGATTTCGATATCATCCATATTTTATTTCGTTTTGTGTATTTTTGTTGTATTGAATCATAAATTAACATCCTTAATTTTTTACAACATTTCCTAGATTACATTCAATCTAGTGATATTGCATCACACCTAGTGCTAGAAAACTATATGTTTATGTATAAAAGTTTTGGTAAATTAATGGTAAAAATAATAAATTATTCTTAAAAATGTGGATACAATTATATATCAAAAATAAAAGTTGTCTATCTCCAAAGAATGAGTAAAGTTTTGAAAATTGGAATGAAGATCCATTCCGCCATTTTACCGGTTTGATGTTTCAACTGGTCCAACAACCTGTCGGTACAATCTCAAAAATTGAAAAAACTAGATGATAACATAATTATATTATTATTATTAATTTTAATTATATAAAAAATACAAAAAATGATATATATATATATATATATATATATATATATATATATAGGGAAGAGTTATATGGAAAATGAATGATTAGGGCAACACATATTTGAACCAATGAAAACATAACAACACATCACTTCCACAATAACTTCCACAATACATTACTTGTGAAGAAAGAAATGGACACATGTCATTTGATTATTGGTTCCGGTAGATGTTGCCCTAATTATTTGTTTTCCATAGAACTCATTCCTATATATATATATATATATATATATATATATATATATATATATATATATATATATATATATAATAATAATAATAATAATAATAATAATAATAATAAGTTCCTGATTTTTTACCGATTCACATGACGAACAGTTTTTCGGTTTTTTACAGGTTTATATGACGGACTGTTCCGGTTGAAACCGACCGATGTGGTTTTCAAAACATGAAGATTGAGGGAAACAAATTAATGTGTAATTAATTAAGTAGGAGCTAGATAAGAAACATTTCAACCATTAACTCTAAAAATCAAAACTAAAAAGAATATATTTTTTTCTAATTTTTTTTTCAATGACATTTCAAAATTTAGTTATTTGTTTTTTAAAATTCTGAATGTGTTATTTGTTAAGAATTCTAAAATATTAGTTTTTATCTTTTAGATAAAATAAAAAACCCAAGTTAATTTTTGGCTTAGTTTGATTTGTATCTAAACCCAAAATATCAAATTTCGATCAACCATTTTTATATTTATAGATCTTAATGATCTAAGACTACAAACGGGTGCAGATAAGCTTGACCTAATATTATTACGCTAAACTAACCATAACTCATTAGCTTTGATTAGGCTAACTAAAAATTATATATAAGAAATATATATTACTCCAAATCCATCTGGAACCATTACAGGACCACAAGCGTTCGAACAACAGAAATAGACACCTAGTATAAAAACTCCCAAAAAAGCACTTCCACTTATTACATTTGAGATGTAAAAACTCGTACGTGTTGCTCGACAGTATTCAACTTCGCCACCTATTACAACCAGCTCTCCACGTGTGCAGCCACATGTACCATAAATACCCACCACCACAACCATCGATTCACAACCATCCCACAATGGCAAAGCTCATAGCACTAGCACTTGCTTTCACAGCCCTTGTAGCGTTTGCTTCCGCCCACAGCACCATCATCACCACCACCATCGAGGAGGAAAGCACATTCTCGAAGCAGCAGTGCAGCCGACAGCTCCAGGGTCAAAGATTCAATCAGTGCCAGAGGTATCTCGCGCAGGGCCAGAATTTGTATGAAGAAGACGACCGGAGTCAGCAACAGTTGTGCTGCCAAGAGCTCCAATACGTCGACGAGCAGTGCCAGTGTGAGGCTGTGAAGGAAGCATTCCGCGAAGCCAGAAGATGCAACAACAACAACAGGGACAACAAGGCGGAAGCTTCGGTTCCAAGCAGATCAGACAGATGATGCAGAAAGCTCAGAACCTTCCTAACCAATGCAAACTCCAAACTAGACAATGCCAAGTCGGAAAAATCTCAATCACCACCTTCACCACAATCACCGAGGACACCACCTACAACCGCCGTGGCTCGCAACAGCAGTGCGAACGCATCCGAAGCCGACAATTCAACCAGTGCCAAAACTTCATCCAACAACAACTGGGTTCCTATCCAACCCTTCTGATGAGCGTCAGCAAGCCACAAGGTCTCGAACAATGCTGCAATGAGCTTCAGAACGTGGATGAAGAATGCCAGTGCGAGGCCATGCAGGAGGTGTACAGGCAAGCCCAGAGGCAGCAGCAACAAGGGAGCCAACAACGTGGCCGACGTGGTGGACAGCATCAGACCCAAGACTTGCAGCAGATTGTTCAAAGTCTGCCCAGCCAATGCAAACTAGAAGTGCAGCAATGCCGAATCCCATCTACCATGTTTTAAGGTGGAGATTATTGATCAAGGAATAAATGTCATTCGCATCTCTAGTCAAGGTTTACGGTTTTGAATTTTGAGATGGGAGTAGTTGCAAAAATAAGTAGGCTCATGGAGAGATGAGTATCTATAAATCTCATGTAATCGCTCTTTCATCTTTTTTATGAATAAATAAAATGATGGCTGCGTTTTCTATTCCTTGAAGATAGAGAACATTTATAACCAACTTTAATTATAACACAATTTCCATTATTGGGTTAAATATTAAAATTGGAAGGGTCTTCAAATTTATATAAGGAATAGTTTTATAAAAAGAAAATAGATTTGACCGTCTTAATTTATTTGGTGTTTACCACCTTAATTTGGATATAGTCTTTTGGGCAATCTCATCTGTGGCTGAGGTGGACAACTTATATTTGCCCATGTAGAAGGTTGAGCTGGATAACTTATACCAGATCTGTGGCGTGGTCCAACCATGATATCTCTGAAATACAACATAAAAATATCAGAGACTCTATCGAGCATAATCGCACTTGATAACGCAGTCCTACTCAGTCTCCGATACCTAGGGATTCTTACTTGGGTTGCCCACTGACCCGGTGTTTTCAGTAGTACGGGCCCAATACTACCAACTACACCGCGTCAGCATTAACCCCAAGTCCTCCTCCCCAAACCCCGGATCCTGAGTACTCTATTCTTGTCATGCACTAGCTACCCACTCGCTCTCAAAGCACCTCATAGAAGCAGGTTTTCCTAGACTAACGCATCACAAATCAGGTCACTCTAGTCCTAATATGAATACCTAGTCTACTAGCATGCGTATCATATCATATCATATCTCATAACACATATTGTAAGAGTATTTTGGGGATTTTACCGTTTGGGCACTGGCTGACCGTACACACTCCTTCTTCTTTGGTTGTTTCAAAAATCACTTATCAAATTTTATTGATTTATTAATTAAAATTTTCTCAAATCCCCGGTTTGAGTTCAGTTACGCCCGAAGGTGTACCCGAATCCCTCAAACCAACGCTCTGATACCAAATTGTAACGACGTAAATTTTAAAACCAATTTTTCATTTTTACAAACATCAAAACATCGAGTAATAACTTAGATTCCAATGTAAACAATATTGTCACGACCGATTACATAACAAAGATCACAAAAATAGTTGTGGTATATGTGTACGTGTATGTGTGTGTGTATACGTGTTTGTGCGTATTTATATGTGAACGTAGATCATAAGCGTGTTAAACCATTAAACGAGTAATGGATCTCATATGTGCACACAACTTTATGAATGATATTAATAGCTATAAGTTGGTGAAAATAGGGATAATCATGTATAATAGAGGTGTGAAAAAAACGAAGCGGAAAAAACAACGTTTGGTGCCCGAAAAACTGAAAATAAGAATTATCCGTAGCTAATCCGTAGCGAATTAGCTACGAAGTTCTAACAGAAAGCACATTCCGTTAGAATTCCGTAGCTAGTCCGTAGCTAATTCGCTACGGATTAGCTACGGATAATTCTTATTTTCAGTTTTTCGGGCACCAAACGTCGTTTTTTCCGTTTCGTTTTTTTCACACCTCTATTATACGTGATTATATCTAGTTTCACCAACTTTTAGCTATTAATATCATTCATAAAGTATTGCGCACCTTCGGGATCAAGTACTCGTTTAATAAGTACTCGTTTAACGGTTTAACAATATAATGACTATATTTTTCACCAACTTGTGATGGATTTATGTTTGTAGACATGAATGAGTTGTGGTATATATGTATATGTATATGTGTATGTATACGTTTTTGTGAGTATTTATATGTGAACGTAGATGATAAGCATTAGAGTTTAAAGCCATTAAACGTGTAATGGATCCCGTATGAGCACACGATTTTATGAATGACATTAATAGCTAAAAGTTTTAGAAAATATAGATAATCATGTATAATAGAGGTGTGAAAAAAACGAAGCGGAAAAAACGACTTTTGGTGCCTGAAATGTCGAAAATAAGAATTATCCGTAGCTAATTAGCTACGGACTAGCTACGGAATTCTAACGGAAATAATAATAATAATAATAATAATAATAATAATAATAATAATAATAATAATAATAATAGAAATAATAATAATAATAATAATAATAATAATAATAATAGAAATAATAATAATAATAATAATAATAATAATAATAATAATAATAATAATAATAATAATAATAATAATAAGATGTTTAAATAGAATAGTCATGCATGTTGGTATGAATGTGGCATGCTCGGCCGGTTGGTAAGTTTGTGGCATTGTACGTATTCAACCCGAGTTTGAATCCCACCCACGTTTTTTTTTTGGCAGGCAGTAGCTAATCGGTAGCTAAACCGTCGCTAAACCGGTCCGTAGCTAATCCGTAGCAAATTCCGAAGCTGGGCCGTAGCAAATCGGTAGCTATTGTTTTTAATTAAAATCCATTCTATTTCCTTATATCCCACGAATTCCCCCCTCCCCTTCACCCCTTCAGTCAGCGAACAGATCCAGAAAAGAAAGAACCAAACTTCTCCCCCCCCCCCCCTCTCGTTCCAACAATCGCCAGCGATTCTTCCCGCTCTCACCGTTGCCGTCGCCGACCAGTGCTGCCATCGCCGGCTTTCTTCTCCGGCGCACTTCCCTTCTCTCTCTCGGCCTTTTGCTCGATTCTTCCCTAAAAGGTAAAACCCTAGTGTTTTTTTTTTTTTTTTTTTTTTTTTTTTGAAATTACTTGATGTATACAATTTAGATGCTTTATTCATTGATAATGCTAATAAGTTTTGTTGAATGTGATGTCGAATTTAAGGATTTAGATTTAATTTGGTTGAATATTTGGTTAATTTCATAGCTTGGTTGAATATATGGTTAATTCAATTTTAAAAATGTTAATTTTGTTGAAATGTGATATATAAAAAATGTTGTGAACTTTAATTCGTTAAAAATGTTAATTTTGTTGAAATGTGATATATAAAAAATGTTGTGAAAAATTTGTTAAAAATGTTAATTTTGTTGAAATGTGATATATAAAAAATGTTGTAAACTTTAATTTGTTAAAAATGTTAATTTTGTTGAAATGTTAGGCTAATTTTATAAATTTGTTAAAAATGTTTGATTAAATGGGATGTTATATATATATCATTAGTTATATATGTGTATTATGTATGTGTATTATGTTAATAATTTTTATGGGTTTTTTATGTATCATTAGTTATATATATTAGATTAAATGAGATGTTACACTATTACTTCATGTTTAGTTTAAAGTTTTAACATTTTTTATATCTAAATGTAGTTTTAGATCGAAATGCTGTCTAATAGAGAATGGATGTACACAAAGAGACTCGATAATCGTCTTTTGTTTAATCCACAATGGCCACATTATGTTAATTTGTTTTTGGATTTTGTTTATGCGAACGCAACAAACATCCAACATATCATTAGGGAAGGGGTGGAAGTTTTTGAAATTAGATGTTCGTGTGCGAAATGCAAAAATATTTATTACCTTCCGAGAGAATTAGTTTTTAGCCATCTTGTTAACCGAGGCTTCATGATTGGTTATACACAATGGTATTTACATGGAGAAAAATATCCAACACTAGAGATAAGTCAATGTTCAAACCCAATTTCACCTCAACACGTGGGTCCAAGTTCGAATATTGAAACAGTTCAACACATTAATAACGATTTTAGTGATTATCATAGATATGAGGAGATGGTTATCGATAGCATGCACCAACCTGAGGCTTCGTATTATCAACAAACACCACAACACCCAAATCCTGAATATGGATCATCCGTGGCCCCGATTTAGTGATATTCCCAATGAGGCCCTTTTGCAGATGTTTCCGCGTTTCAAGGCAATATATTAAATATAAATTATTGTATCTTATACTCATTTGTTTTTACTTTGTATTTTTAGATTTACTTTTTATTTTTTTACAGACCATGTACAGGTGGAATTCACTAGAGAATAGTAACATATTCGATGCCTTCAAGTGTGTCCTCAAGGATAGATACAGGGATCGGATGAAGCGTATCAGGATTAAATCTGGGGAAATGGCACGAAATGATGGGAAACCCGTCCCCTTAGGTCATTGTACCTACTACGAAGGGATGCATGACTACCGCCCTGGGCGCGTACCGGAGAATGTGTGGCGACGTTTGTGTGATGTAATGGATATGATACTTTATTATCTATTTTGTTGAATTTTAATCTCTTATTGTATTAGTATCCTTATATTTTTTTTCTTTTCATAGCATTGGTCGACAGATAAGTGGAGAAAGAATTCAAAAATTGCTCAGCAGAACCGCAAAGTCGCAGATGCTAATGGGTCGACAGCTAGGCACACCGCGGGTAGTATAGGATTTGACGAGCACCGTAACAACTTAGTAAGTATCATAATTATAAATTTTATTATCTTATTTTTTAACACTAACTACATCAACTATACTTTGTATTTTTATGTAGGAAAAGGTATTGGGTAAACCACCCACACAATTTGATGTTTTCATGAAGA